CAGCTTGTTTACGGGATTATCCTCGAACAGAAAGACGAGCAGATTACCGCCGATGCACTGAGCGAAGATTGAGACACGGCGCTTGACAATCACCAGACTATCTTCCAATTCCCAGAGGACTCGTCGAAGTGCAAGAGCGCGCGGCATTCACACAGCATATCTAAGCTTGGACCACTATAATCAACATGGACGCCAGAGTAAGTTTATCCTATTCCGTGTAATTGCCAATTTCTGTACCTCCGCCAGCCCAACCCAACTCTCCTCTTGCCAACAATCACATCAATCCCAATCCATCACAATTGTCATCACCAAAAAGGGAGCCGTTCTGACATTGAATTCCACCATCAGCCTCAACGACCTCGCGCTGCCCTCCCCGCGCTAGGCAACGAGAACATGACGATCACGAGCAAGCAGTCTGGACACCAGCGCCACAAGTCTACAGGCAACCTTCAAGCCGCTTCCCGCAATGGTGCCCTCCAGGCCGCTGCCAAGCGCACCGTCTTTGGCGATGTGAGCAATGTTGTCAAGGGCCTCACTTCGGGCAGCGGCGTTGTCGGCGCTACCAAGGGCAAGATTACCGTCGCTGCCGATAAGAACACCCTCAGCACGCAAGCCACGTTTGGGTTTTCCAAGCCCGCACAGCGATCGATTGCTCCTTCCCAACCGGCCAAGGGCAATCTGAAGACGATGGCCTCAGCTAGCCACATTGGCAGCCAGAACAAGCTCGCTGTCCACAATGATACGCGACTCGACGCGTCGCAGGCTCAAATCGTGCCTGTGCAGGCCTCGAGACCCATGACGGCGGATGGCAAGCTGGTGGGTTCGACGTCAGTCGACACTCTCCAGGGAGAGTCGATCCTCGATCCTACATCTTTTGCACACCTCGCGGCCGATCACGAAGTTCAGGCCAACCTGGGCAGCATGTTGGATGTCGATCTGAACATGGCGCCGTCCGTGGACAATGGCGCTCTTCTCCATGATCAAGAAGCCGACCGTGTGGCCCACCTTGTCCCTGCGAAACCCGCTATGACAACCTTCCAGCCTCGCCACCACAAGTCTCAGCCCCAGCTTAAGAACGAGGCTGTTGTACAACCGCTGCGACGCACGCAGAGCCGGTACCTCGCGCCACAGACGTCCGAGCCTCTCGATCACGAAGAGTCGAAGTACCTTGACGACGTTACCGAGGCCGCTTACGAGGATGCCCTCGAACACATCCTCGATCAGCAGTTGCAAGGAATCGAAGGGAACGGCCACTCTGCCAAAGACCGTGGATACGACGACAAGGCCGCATCCCAATACCCTGAGACTGGTGGCGAGACTTCACATAACTTGGACCAGAACTTGGATCTCGCTCTGTCTGAGCAATTGCCTGCTCCTCCCATGTCGGAACCCGAGGAGTATTGGGACGAGGTTGAGGAAGAAGAACTCTACGATGACCAGGGATACACGACGGCCCACTCCTACAAGTCGCGTGGTGAAATGACCGTCAGCGGTGCGACTGCCCTCCTTGCTCCCAAGTTTACGGAACTCGTGCAGCGAGAGCTCCAGGCCGCGAAAGAGCATGTCGAGTACCATCGCACTCCTGATGAGGTTGAGGAGGAGTTCTGGGATGTCTGCATGGTCGCAGAGTACGGCGAAGATATCTTTGAGTATCTCCAGGAACTCGAGGTTAGTCATCACTATTTCTCGCGGCGTTTCCTCGAAGTAGCTTACTGACACCGACACAGACGCGCATGATGCCCGACCCCCATTACATGGATCACCAGTCCGAGATCCAGTGGTCTATGCGCTCAGTCCTCATGGACTGGCTTGTGCAAGTGCATGCACGCTTCAGTCTCCTTCCGGAAACTCTTTTCCTGACGGTCAACTTTATCGACCGCTTCTTGACGTTCAAGGCGGTTTCTATCGGCAAGCTCCAGCTTGTTGGTGCCACCGCATTGCTGCTTGCATCCAAGTATGAAGAGATCAACTGCCCCTCGCTTGAGGAGATTGTCTTCATGGTTGATGGGTCGTACGCCGTCGAGGAGATCCTGAAGGCGGAGCGCTTCATGCTGAGCATGCTAGGCTTCGAGCTGGGATGGCCTGGTCCAATGAGCTTCCTCAGACGCATTAGCAAAGCCGACGATTACGATCTGGAGACACGCACCCTAGCCAAGTACTTCCTCGAAGTAACCATCATGGACGAGCGCTTCGTGGCAAGCCCACCTAGCTTCCTGGCGGCAGGCGCCCACTGCCTGTCCCGCATGATTCTGAAGAAGGGCGACTGGGTAAGTCACCAACAGCGCCGTGCGTTTGATTCAGTGCATGACATTCTTGCTAACACGTTTTTCTGCAGTCCCAGGCCCATGTTCACTACTCGGGATACACATGGAGTCAATTGAAGTCGCTCGTGCGCCTTATCCTCTCCTGCTGCGAGTCGCCTCGCGAGCACCACGCGGCTGTCTTTGAGAAGTATGTCGACAAGAGATACAAGCGGGCGGCCGAGTACGTCCAGATTGAACTTAAGAAGGGCTTCACTGTCCCCTTACGGTCACCCACCGGCCATCCCTCCCCGTTGATGGACCTTGGCTGCTACGAGAACGAGCTAGGCGCCTTCAACTATCCGGCTAAGACAGGCCAGCTCATCAACGCATGAGCTCGGAGGTCTGAAGGTTCATTCTGCGTCGTCCATCTCAGAGTTTCATGAGATCCGAACCTACTCAGCCCAGCGGTGCTCGACCCTTTGGTCGCACACACTGTCCACCATGGATCCAAACGGGGCCCAAAGGAAGAGAGACACACAACCCCCTTACGACTAATATCAAACGACTTGACGAGACCCACGACTCTTTTCTTTAACGCCTGGAGGAGGGTGTTCGCACCCTTGTCCCTTATTTGTTTCTGTTCTTGTTATTCTACATTGCGACTCTGGCTACACTACTTTCGGCCAGCGAGCTCAGGCGTTACGGATGAGATTGCCGCCTAGGCATAGAGGGAACAGCAAGCCAGTTCCCGGAAATGGACGATGCATGGGGAAAATCCGCCATGTGCTGAGTTGGTGGGCCTCGGGGACTGCACATGGGAGAAGAGTCTACGAGTAATATTTGCTTTGGCCGTGGGCGTTGTTATTTTTTTATGTACGTGATTAAAGACCGGCTGACGCGGGCCATGCAAGGGGCAGCGGACACGCCCTGGTTGCTTCGTCAGTAGGAAACAAAAAAGACATTTGTTCGGTTAACCTTGCGGCTCCTGACGTGGTCAACATGGCATAGCTTATGATGTTCACATCCAAGAGTGGCTGTGAGACGGATGGCGTGCGCTGTGGCTGGCAGGTGGAGCCCTGCCTTTCGCCCTTGCGGGGACGTTACACTCTGGCCACATTGCTGACTCCAGGGCACGCACGGGCAGTGTCTCTGTTCAGGGTATTTTGACGCAGCCGGCCAGCCACCAGCCACCCCAGAGCTTCCCCAAATTCCACCCACTGCCTGAACTCTCCATTACCTCCCCCTCACAGACAGACAAGCTCGTCACCAGAAACGAAAGGGAAAAGCCCTAGGTCATTTGTTCTCCTCTTCTTGCTCGGCCCTGTGCCTCTTCGATCCAATTCAGCCATCTTCCTCCCTCTGCAACTAGGCCTCATTAATACCATCATGGTTCAATTCACCTCTGCTGTTCTGGGTTTCCTCGCCCTCCCCATCTTCGGCGCCATCGCTCAGGATGCTGTACCTGTGAGTTTACACTGAGACGGCGACCCCCCCGACCCTTGCATCATGCCGCTGACGCCAATTGAAATAGGAGGGAGCTCCCGTTGCCGATGCGCCTACGTTGGCTGCCGATGTCGAGGCTACCTTTCCCGATGCCGACATCTTTGGTGTGAAGCTTGTCAACGGTCGCCCGACCAAGGCGGTCGTCGAGATTACCAACCGCGAGGATGCGCCCATTCAGGTCGCGTTTGTTGCCGGCTCTCTGTCTCGCGCCGAGGAGCTGGCTACCGAAGTCATTGTCCGCAACCTGACGGCTGTGCGTTACGATCTGACCATCGAGCCCAAGGAGAAGAAGGCTGTGCCCTACTCCTTCGCCCTCGACATGCAGCCCCAGGACGTCAAGCTCCAGCTTGTCGCCGTCGTCAGCAACGCCAAGGGCGACGTCTTCCAGCTGCCTGCCTACAACGCCCCTGCCGCCGTTGTTGAGCCTCCCACCAGCATTCTGGACCCCCAGATGTACGTGTCGAGCAAGCCCTTTGATTTTCTTTGCGCGCCGTTCTGACAATGTGCACAGCATCTTCCTGTACCTGTTCCTCAGCGCTGCCTTCACTGGCACTCTTTACTTCGTCTACAAGACCTGGATCGAAGCCCTGTTCCCCCAGGCCAAGCGTAGCGGCAAGAAGGTCAGGACCGTCAATGTCACTGTCCCCGTCCCCGAGCAGGACTCTGCCTCCTCCGCCGCGGCCACGGGCTCCGGCAAGAGCTACGACGAGAGCTGGATTCCCGACCACCACATCAACCGCCCCGTGGCCAAGAGGGTCAAGAGCGGCGCCAGCGGCAAGGTCAAGATCTAAACGATCGGCGCAATGCAACACTAGGCCTCAAAATCTAGGGATCCCCCCCGGCAGAGGATGCTGGAAAGGGGACGGAAAAGCAACGTGACTCGGCTCGTGGGCTGGATAGCATGCATGTATATGACTTGTGATTAATTTACGTGCGCTTGTTCGTGGATACAGCAGACCGACCGAGTCAGGAAGCAACACGCGATTGTCAAGCCTTGCGCGCGTCAGTGCATCTCGTGTCTGATCAGCGCTTCAAAAAATACTTGTTCAAACTCAAAACCGCGCATTGAAAAAGCAACTCTCCTGAATGAAGAAGGGAACAAAGAGATTTGCCATTGTGATGTGACGTTGGTTACAAGATTACCGAGTAGATGCTATGTTGAAGTAGTCTCAACGGAGGGGCTAAAAGGCGGAGGTGCCCTGACTTTGAATCATTCGTCTCTGGGGACAGGGGTCTGCTGATTGACTTGCGCGCGCACAGGTATCCACTGGGGGATGGAGACGCGACTTTCTACACTTTCTACACGCTCAGCTCCCCCGCGTGAATTGAGGATCTCTTGCAGCTTGCATCACCCAAGCGTTACCACCGTCTCTTCTCCAAACTCTTTCTCAGTTCACGTTCATCGACGCCTTCAGAGTCGATTTTCAAGTTTGATTCCAAGCAACATCCACCACACACACCGAACCCACCGCCCACAATGGCATCAGAAGCCCCAGCCGAGCCCGTCAAGCGAGGCCGCGGCCGCCCCAGAAAGCCCGACTCGGAGAAGAAGCAGAAGCCGCGAGTAGACGATGGCACACCGCGCCGAGGACGAGGCCGTCCGAAGGGAAGCCTCGGCAAGCCCAAGGTCCTCACCGCCGCCGCTGGCGTCTCCAAGTCGACGTCGGCAATGAACACGCGGTCGACGGGCACGCGAGGTCGGCCTCGCAAGAGCGACGCCGCCGCAGCTTCCACCACGTCGACTACCAAGGCGGCCGGCGCGACGCAGACACCGTCCAAGCGAGGTCGCGGCCGGCCGCGCAAGAGCGACGCCGCTGCATCCTCTCCTGCTGTGGAGCGCGAGGAGCCAGAGTCTGCCGCATCCGAGGCCGACGTGCCTGCGACGGATGAGTCGCCCCGGAGCAAGAGTGCTGCTTCGTCAGAGGCTGAGCAGGACGAGGCTTGAACGTGAGTTGTCTTTTTTCCCTCCTGAATTGGCGTGTCTATTTTTTTTTTCCCCGCTTTCGAGCGCTGACATGTGCTTCCCAGGGGAAACGGACTGAGAACCACCATGCCAAAAAAAAATTTAAAAATTGTTACGAGCTCTGCACACATGTTTACGGGACTATGCTTGTGACAAGCAAGCCTTACGTTCGGCCAGGAATGGAAGGAGAGGCGTCTGGACAACACGATGGGAAAGGGACGCACACTCAATACTAGCACGGGATGATGCGGGTTGATCGCTGTATTTCTTTTTTCTTTCTTTTCTTGCCGAGTCTTGTTTTCTTTCCGTTCTCCTCTTACAAATTTGAGAATTTTCTCCAGTGCTCCGCGATCTTTCTTGGGACCAGGCCGTCATTCCCTCTTCCACTCATCAAACTCCACTTCCAGGTGCGCCTTGAGCTGCTGAAACTGATTCTTGTAGCTCTTGTGGCAGCGCCAGCACATAAAGTCCTTCTTCAGGTATCCTTCGTGGCCTGGGTGCCGTCTCGGGTCATCCTTTGCCAGTGGGAAATCTGCCACGTCGACGAGGAAGGGCGTGTTGAACGAGTTGTAGTGTTTGCGGTGCTTGACACACTTGGAATGCATGTCCCTACTGAAGACGTGGATGTGCAGATGGTTCATGCTCGGTTGTGCGTGGATCCCCGTCCTGACCTCGAGCGCCCAGTTTCGACCCGGCGGCAGCTCGTCGCCGTCGACCTCGACATGACCGTTGAGCACGGCCTCGCGCCTGGCATCGGCCTTGCTCTCGTGCCCCAGTTTGCGCTGGAGTTCTTTCGCAACGAGGGCTTCGAGTTTACGCACCGCCTTCCGCACGGAAGCCAGAAAGTCTGCGTCCTCAAAGGCTTCAAAGGGGTGGAGGAGACTGTGCTGCGGGGATCGTGGAAGGAGCAGAGCGTGCACCGTCGCTTTGGGGTATAGGTCGTGGACCGCGACAAAGTCATCGTCGTAGTAGATGACCTGGGACGCAGGAAAAGAGGCCGGGTTTTCAATGTAGACGCCGAGGTTGTCGCGAAACCTGTCGAGATGTGGTGCTCGGGGACGTTCGGCAGGGGAGGTTTTTGCTCGCTTGGGCTTCGGTGCCATCAGCTCGGAGACTTGAAGGGGTTGTGGTTAGTTTCCGACCTCAACATGGCACTCCTTAGGGAGTTGGAACTTCCTACAGGCATTGCGCTGCTTTTTTGTTGATGCTGAGCTCACGAGCTCGTCGCGCGTCATTGCTTCGTTGGAAGCCTGCTGGAGCTTGTCCATCGCTGCGGGACCAATTCTGACGTTCTCTCCTGGGGCCTCGGTCAACGTAGTCCGAGGTTCCTGTCGTCTCGTGTATGTGGCAGCATTGTAACCGGTGCCGTTGTCGTGTACCCAAGGCGGCCAACGGAGCCAAGGAACATGTTGATGGTATTTCACGTCACCACACGCGTCTTGCAAACCGTCAGAGGCTCTACCCACCCCCACTAGAGCTTTCGCGGGGTCACAGTGCGCTGTGCACAAGGCCCAGTAGACTGATTGATCGCTGCCCCACTAAAACTCATTCGCGACGACCAGACACAGACCGAGACGGCAGACATGAGAAAAGTTGCCCCCGTTCACGATCTTCATCCCTGATTTCTCACCGACACGCCTACGCTGCAGTGCATCATGCCGCACATGAGTTACTAGCAGTCTTCTCCACCAGAGTTATCTACCCCAGTATGGCGAAGAAGGCCAAGGATCAGGCCGCCTCGCAGGCGTCCGCCTCGCAGCCTGCCACCGGCAAGGAGAAGGACAAGGGCAAGGATAAGGGCAAAGACAAAGATGCGCCCAAGGGCAAGAAAGGGGCACCGTCTCTCATCGAACAGGCCGCTGGCCCGGTCGGCCCTCCGAAGCCCACGGCAAAACAGATCATCGGCGGCGCATCCTGGACTGGAAAGCTGCCCGTCAACCTGTTCAACGAGTACTGCCAGAAGCAGCAGTGGGAGAAGCCCGACTACAACATGCGCAAGACACCCGAGGGCTACTCTTGTCTCATCACCCTCAGCGCCAAGGATCCCAAGACCAAGGAGATGATTAGGCTGGAGCCGTTCAAGATCCCCGCCGACCTGCTGCATCTGCTCACCAAGCCTACCGCCCTCGAGGCCCGGCACTTCGCTGCCACATATGGTCTCTTTCGTGTCTGCAGCATGCAGAACAAGCACACCGTCCTGCCTCCCGACTACAAGATTCTATGGAAGGACTTTCAGGCGCTCAAGCAAAAGGACGTCAAGGAAGGCAAGGCTTGGATGTACGATGCGGACCCCTTCAAGACGATCCGCGAACGACAAGAAGCCAAGGCTGCTGCCGACAAGAAGAGAAAGGAGATCGAGAGAGTCAAGGAGAAGGCAAAGTCCATGCCGGGCGCTGCCGGCCTTGTGCTCGCCGGCGGCAGCGGTGCTGGCTCCTTTAACCCCATGAAGGGGTGGACCTCTGTGCCCAAGATCGAGATGGGCCGCAAATCCCGAGTCCAGGTCGAATCTCTGATTCAGAAATATGTCGTTTGGAACCCGAACAAGGTCTTCATGGCTGCTCCACAGAGACAGGTCGTTGTCGAAGACCTCAGCAAGCTGGGCTTTCGACGTAGCCACATTGAAGAGGCTGTGGACATTTGCAAGGATCGCGAAGAGACATTAGAATGGCTTCTGATTCACGTGCCCGAAGACGACATTCCTCCTTGGGCTCTCCCCGAGAGCTATTCCGCCGGCATTTCAGTCGGGTCTCTGGACCTCAAGAAGGAGGCTGCTGTGAAGCGCTTGGCCGAATCTGGATATGCCTTGGACTTGTGTGCACGCATCTTCGAGGAGACTGGATGTGATGAAAGCAAGGCGGCTGAGACGCTGCAATGCCGGCTCTTGGGCCAGTCTATTGAAGATTGGACTGCGATAGCACCATCAGACATTCTCCCCCCAGACATGACAGCGGACGAGGTTTGGGATGACGAGGTTGTGGCGATGGAGTCCTCATTCGGCGACCTTGTCACCAAGATGTCCGAAGACATCATCCAAGTCAAGCTGGAGTCGGTAACAAACGGGTCAAAGACAAACGTGAATACGGTCCTTCAGATCCGCAAGTCGTTAAGCTATCCCGTCCACCTGGTCATCACGGTGCTGGCGCAATTGCCCGCCCAGGCGAAGCTCTCGGTCATCAAACAGACCCTGGCCTATGTACAGGAGGCCTATGGTGCGGATCCTATGAAAGTGTTCGTCGCAGCCGACTGGGCTCAGCAAAACATCAACCGCATCATTGAGAACCCTGGAAAGCTGGTAGAAATCTCAGCTGTTAGCTCCACCGCCTCCGAAGCCCCTGGGACCGTACCTCAGCTGCAACGGCACAGCGGCAAGCTTTCCAGGAAACCCAGGCCAATAGACTGGACGCCGAACCCCCGTAGCCGGGACCAATGGCTCAAGAGACAAGAGACCCCTGATTACAAGAAGATGATGGCGAAGAGACAGTCACTTCCGGCATGGCAGGTGCACGAAAAGATCATCCAGACTGTTGCCCAGAACCATGTGACCATCATCAGTGGAGAGACTGGTTCGGGCAAATCGACTCAGTCCGTCCAGTTCCTCCTAGACGATCTATATAACCAAGGCCTTGGCACAAGCGCCAACATGCTTGTGACGCAGCCGAGGCGAATCTCCGCACTTGGTCTTGCCGACCCCGTTGCGGAAGAGCGGTGCTCGCGAGTTGGTGATGAGATTGGCTACACTATTCGAGGCGAGTCAAAGCGGAGCCAACAGACGCGCATCACGTTTGTGACAACTGGTGTGCTTCTGCGCCGCCTTCAGACATCGGGGGGACGGGTCGAGGATGTGATAGCGTCGCTGGCAGACGTCAGTCACATTGTGATTGACGAAGTTCACGAACGCAGCTTGGACACGGATTTCCTGCTGACCATAGTAAGGGAGGTCATGTCCACGCGCAAGGATCTTCTCAAGCTCGTTTTGATGAGTGCAACGCTCGACGCAGCCTCATTTGAGAATTATTTCCGCTCACAGGGCCTCCGAGTTGGTCTCGTAGAAATCGAGGGCCGGAGAATGCA